GGCTGCCCCCGCCGCGGGCGGCGCCGCGCGGGAAGCGGCAGCGCTTCGTGGACAAGAACGGGCGCTGCAACGTGCAGCACGGCAACCTGGGCGGCGAGACGAGCCGCTACCTGTCCGACCTCTTCACCACGCTCGTGGACCTCAAGTGGCGCTGGAACCTCTTCATCTTCATCCTCACCTACACCGTGGCCTGGCTCTTCATGGCCTCCATGTGGTGGGTCATCGCCTACATGCGCGGCGACCTCAACAAGGCGCACGACGACAGCTACACGCCCTGCGTGGCCAACGTCTACAACTTCCCCTCCGCCTTCCTCTTCTTCATCGAGACCGAGGCCACCATCGGCTATGGGCACCGCTACATCACCGAACGCTGCCCCGAGGGCATCGTCCTCTTCCTCTTCCAGTCGCTTCTTGGCTCCGTTGTTGACGCCTTCCTCATCGGCTGCATGTTCATCAAGATGTCGCAGCCCAAGAAGCGCGCCGAGACGCTCATGTTCAGCCGTGCCGCGGTGGTGTCCCAGCGCGATGGCAAGCTCTGCCTCATGTTCCGCGTGGGCAACCTCCGCAACAGCCACATGGTGTCTGCCCAGATCCGCTGCAAGCTCATCAAGGTGAGCTCCAAGTGCGGGCATCCCGCAGCCAGGGGTGCTGCTACCTGCCCCTCGGCGGGTGGTACTTGGAAATAATCAATTCCACCAGTTTTGTGGTGACACTGAGTCGCTCCTAGTGCTTACCGAGGACAGTGGCCAGCTCTGACCCCTCCTTTGCCTTCGGTAGCTCCATGGGGAGTTTTAATTCCTTCCTTTATTGTTGCCAGGGGCCTTTCTGCATTTTAGACAGACCCTCTGCAAATTTTTGTGGAAAAACACTTTAATTATCACCAGTATGCCATTTATTAAGCGCTGGCAATGTCCAGTAGAATTCAGACTGCAAGGATGAACTGGAAATCAAATAAAATCATAACCAAGGAACAATAAATAAATAAATCCCTCAGGAGACAGTGA